TGGGAAAGGGAAGGAAGTCCAGGACTAGAGTTCAGAGTCTGATCCGTAGGTATTGTTTGTATCTTTTGATTTTTGTACGGTCATGGCTTTTCTTCTGTGTTTATTCTGCTAGCCATGTACCGTATTTGTAGATGATTGTTTTGAGGAAAAGAAAGAAAAAAATAGATGTTTTGTTCCGCTGCATTTGGTGACTTATAGTAGCTCTGTTGTTCTGTGTTTGTGTGTCTGTTGAGTTAATTATTTTGGAAGATTCAGTTCAGAACCAAATTCCAAAGCCAGATCCTGAATAAGAAGGTTCTGTCGCGATCCGGCTCGGGCGGGATCCGTCCCCGTCGGGTCGGGTCGTGACAATATGTATATCCTCTTTATTTTCTCTATATTTATCCATTAAATCTCTTAATAAATGTATGGCTTTCATAGTTGACCTACCCGGCATGAATCCAAATTGATTTTGAGAAACATTAGTATCACGCAGCAACCTATGCTCTATAACTCGCTCCGACAGTTAAAATAGGACACATTAACTTAATTACTCTATAATTCGCACAATCTTGTGCATCACCTTTATTCTTAAAAATAGGAATTAATACACTCATTCTCTACTCATCTGACATATTTTTAGTCTTCAAAACAGTATTAAAAAATTAAAACAAAGCATTGTGATGGTCCTAGTGGATGCATTCCTAGATATGACTGACAATAATAATTATTGTAGCTATAAGATACGCAGCAAATGAAGGAAGATGTTAGATAGAGAAAAGCTTCAAGGTTGTTGTAGTACAATTTCTATGAAATGCTCTGTCTCAATATAACGCATTCCTGGTCTTATACGTCTGCGGTAGTTTGCCCATTGCGCTTCTTTTGCAGAATATATTCCTTAATAATTCTGCTGGATCTGGGAAAGACTTTCAATCAAAGACACCTAAAAATAGATGAGGTCTCGCAAAAATGCAACAACTCTGCTTAATCGAATAATGAGCATTATGCATTTAACCTTTATTTGTTGTCTATTATGCATTAGGTAAAAAGCAGTTTTGACAAGAATTTGGTTATTTTATGGGTTGGAACTTCGAATTATTCCAATCCTCCACTATCTTATATGCAGTAAGCTATATAGATAAAGGGTTTTGGGTTCTTAACAATCTAAGGAAAATATGAAGGCTTCTACCCTCTTAATGTTTTTTGCATTTTTTTCACCGTCCTTTTCAGTTTATGCCTGCTAATTTTTATTTTCGTACTTCGCAACTTTTGTTATCTGTTGCTGTGCAGGAACTGCACTCAGAAGCCAGAAAGTTAAGTGAGGAGTTGCGGGAAGGCACGCATGATCTTAGCAAGAAAATTGACTTGGTTGTGTTGGTGCATAACCTGTCGCAGCAAATACCACGATATCATCAATCAAGCCAATCTACAGCACAGCCAGCCCTCACTACTCTTCTAAATGAGGTGAAGACTTTTGGCACCCCTTGGGTTTTGGCCATCACAAACAAATTCTCTGTCAGTGCACGCGAGCAGAAGATGCTGGTCAAATCTGCAATGGAGGCATATCAAACACCTCCCACCATGGCCGAAGTTGTAAACTCATGCCCTTTTGTTGTGCCAATTGTGTCTAATTCGACTCAGAAGGTGAATACAACAGAGAGTAACTTGACAAGGAGAATAAGTGTTCTCAAGCTGATTCTTGCTCCAATCAATCTTGCTCGTATTCCCTTTCAAAGGAAAGACATAATATTTCCTATTGAGGGGATTGCTGGTTTCCGAAAACTTGTACGTCATGTTCTTCATAGTCATGAGGAGCTGGCTTTTCAAGTAAGAATCTTACCATAATCATCATACACTTCATTATCATTCTCTCTTTGCACTGATGTTTAGATGACAGACATTAAGCTTGTTGCTTACAATCATCTCTCAGCATGCTTTTTTAATGGAGTATTTTCGTAGGGAGTTATGACTTTATATGCCTCATAGTACACATAATTGAAGAAATATCTCTGCTATATTTGCTTTCTTGGAGAAAGGCCTAAAAGTTCATTTTGGCCGAGTTATCCCCCTTCTTATTTTTGTGAATTGTTTATTGAAGTCTGTCATGAATGAAATTAATTTGAATTGGTAAAAATTTGAAGGTTTATTCAAAAAAAGGTTCAAACATAATTTGAACCATCACGCATCAGTTCTGCGATGCCCTCCTTAGTGAGCTTCATTCCCAACGAGCTCCACAAACTCCTCTCTTTCACATGTCGTCGTGTTGATGCATTCACCCCACTAATTCTCTCTCTCCACCGAAATTCTCATTTTTCACTCCAAAATGCAACAACAACAACATCAAGCCTTTATCCCACCACATGGGGTCGGCTACATGAATCCTTTTTCTCCATTTTGTCCTATTAAAGTTCAATTTCTCGTTTAAATCTAATAAAGAAAGGTCATTCCTAATATTTTCTGACCAAGTCTTTTTAGGTCTGCCTTAACATAAGTCAAATCTAATACCTCTACTCTCCTAACCGAGTCATTGGAAGGCCGTCGTTTATGTGACCAAACCATCTAAGGCGACTCTCTCTAATCTTGTCTTCTACTGGAGCTACTCCAACCTTTTCACGTATATGCTCATTTCATATCTCTAAGGGTAAAGCCACTCATCCACCTGAGCATCCTCATCTCTGCCACACTTAACTTAATATTATGCTTCTCTTTTAATGGCCAACATTTATCACCATAAAGCATTGCAGGCCTCACTATCATCTTATAGAATTTTCCCTTAAGTTTGAGGGTTACTTTTCTATCACACAACAAGCCC